TTGCGATAGAAGGCGACCATTTTGAGCAGAATACCTCCAACCTATTCGTTTTGAGGTCTCGATCAGACCTAGATTTCGAGCCCTCTCGTTTTTTGCTCTCAGAGGATTTTGCGTCAATATCAAGCGTGTCCTTGTCGGACCCCATTACGAATAAATAGAGTTAGGGCTTATTGACTTAGGGCTACTTAAGTTAGGGTTACTCGATTTTGGGTTGTTGTGTTACAAACCTAGGGTTTTGAAGGTTTTTTGAGGAGAGTATATTTTAGAGCTGGAGATAAGTACAATTGCGTGAGAGATTATGTATTCGATTTTTCTCTAATTTCGGAGTTTGTTTTTTTGTATGTAAGTATTAATCATGATAAAAATATAGTAAGGTAGAACCGCTGAGAGTCACTTTTAAAATTGTTGACGTTTCCAAACAATTTAATTTTTAAATTTACTCACAAACTCACACACACATTTTCATTTTCAATCTCAAGCAACAACAATTTCGTACAATTTCAATTTTTTTTTTTCACTTTTATATGATTTTAAAATGTTGGCAAACTTCAAAAAAAAATCATGGCCGACAAATTGAGAGAACGGTTATACCTTGCTATGTTTTTATCATGGTATTAATATTTGTTTAATTAATATTTTTAATATTCGAGAATATCTTTGAGCGTGTAGCTTTATAGTATTTGTATATGAGCATACAGAATTTTTTCTTTTTCAACTCGAGTAGTTTTACTATTTTGTGGACTGTATTGTATATTTTATTTTAATTTCGAAAACAATGAACGAGTTAACACCCTAGTGCGCTTAAGTATGTTCGTATGTATGTATAAATGGGTTTGTGTGTTATACTGTGCGTTGATATGTAACAGGAAAATTTATAGAAACGTATGCACCTATGTACAAACGCACATACGCATATACGTAGGTATATATGTTATAAATATTCAGCGGTAGAAGTAAGTATTTCGAAAGAGCTTTTTATGATAATTTTATCGTTCGAGTTTATGAAAAGTATTGTGGAAATCGCTTTGGGTTAGTTAAATGTTCCTCTCTTGGGTATGTATATAGCCGCGATGGGGGGCAAAACAAATAAAGTATCATAGACCTGATGGCAAAAATAATATTTGGGTTGCTACCACCCTAGTACTCACCCACATACATGTGTATAGCTATGCATGTATACATGTGTCTAAAACGTATGGATGTACATCTGTATTACTGATGCACTACGCTTTTGAGTGAGAGTTGAGCAAGTGTTAAAATTTGCTATTTTGTATATACTATTTATGTACGTGAGTGTTTATAAAGGTGAGAGAGACCAAATGCAAAGTTATAGCGAGCTTTGAGTGGGGTTTTTATATGGTGAGTGAGTTTATGTGATTTATTTGAGTATTTCCATGCATATAAGTAAATATATGTATACCGAAATTTCTTTTAGCACCGTTTATCTTTGTAAATATGTACATCTATATTTAATTATTTACTTACGAAAAAGGCGCGAAAATTTATAACATGAACATAACACGAATGTATGTATGTGAATATATTTATTAATTTTTAGCCATGGCCGCATTTATGTGCGAAAACCGAAAATTCATAAGGTATACCATATACCAACTGTATTTGTAAGGGTTTGCCTAATATAAATAAGCATGCATAAATATGTTGAGATATTTTTACGCAAATTTCGTTTTGGTACGAATTCGATCACTCGCTATAACTTTATTAATTTTTGGAGGAGATATGAGGTCACTTACTGCGCCATCCGTATATTTTATTTAGGTAACCTTATTTTGTTGCGTCTTAGCGCGCCTCCAGATTTCCACCAGACTGTAGCACTTTTTCTCATTGCTGTTCCTTCGGATTCCGCAATTCCTGTTTTGCCTTGTTTTCGTGATGTCGTCACTGTGCCTGTGAACTTTGACGAATTCGAGTTCCAGTTTTCTTTATAAATAAAATTTTTGTTTTAAATTTTTCGTTTAATTTTACAGAGTTTTAAATGTTTTTT